TCCAACTTAGAAAAGGCAGAGAAGACTTCGCGGTTCTTGTATTCGCACAAGCCAGCAATTGCACGCTTTTGTAGTAGATTGCTCCTGAGCGGTTCAGTTCTGCAGCTCTTTTTATCTTCTACAACATCAGATTAAAGAAATAGCATGAAAAGGAGTCGCACTCTCTGAAACTCCGCTTGGTAACAAACGCCTCGGAGAGGTCTTTCCCAATTCTTACGGAGCCGGTGGTATTGATCAACGTCATTTTACGTTTATGGGGGATGCTAAATTCAGAAAGCAGCTTTAAAGTCGACGACTAGATCGTGAGAGACGATATTTTTCTCACGGGACTTTTCAAAGATTTAGCGTATTTTCTTTGGTGGAGTTGCCAAGTCTAAAGCCACACTGATAAGGCCCATTAAGTTGGTTGATGCTGAGTTTCAGTCTTTTACACAATAACTATGCTTAGAAGGCTGATCCCACGATAGATGGCGCGAATGGCTGCGTCGCCTTTCTTGTGGATTGGGCGGAGCACACTTAAATTCCAGTCGTCGGGCATGCGTTCATCTGACCATATTCTGCATAAGAGTTGATGCATGTACTTACCAACTCCTCGCCACCATACTTGAATAGCTCAGCTGGCAGGTTGTCAGCTCCAGCGGCTTTGTTGTTTTTGAGGCGCGCTTTTGCAATGCGTACCTCGTCATAGTCCAGTGGTGGAACAGCGACTCTGTCATCATCGACTGAGGGCTCGGGTTCATCTTCTCCATAGCTTTCAGTGCTGTTATTATTAGGTAGGGTTTAAAAGTTTTCCTTGCATAACTTAAGTACGTTCTGGTTGCGGTGACCGTGTACGCACTGTATATATTTTTTATCGGAAATTAAGTTACGAACAATTAAAAATCTCAAACTACGAAAACGGCGTTTTTATACCTTAAGTCCAGAGGGTGTATTGAAAATTCTAAGTATGCATATATTTTGTGCATCATCTCAATCTGTCACTTTATCAGTCACATAGTGTTATTATCCCGACGAAATCTTTGACGGTGGTACTGGGAGGGGAACGGTACATAACGGTAGGAGCTTTAGTTTGAGTTAAAGTCTCACACTGACGGGGTTAGACGTTCGTTATTGTTTTTGAAAAAAAAATAACAATTTTGTATAGGGCCCCCCTAAATTTCGTTCTAGCTACGCCCATGTTGATAAGTGCTACCTTCCTTAAACATGCCTCATACGGATATATATATACTCTGTGTGGCCTCTTTTTGGATGCCAGTTTCTATAGCTTGTGTTTATTTGAGGCTGTTTCGTGGCGTAAGTTGTAGGAATTCAACTTGTATATATTAAGGAATTTTTCCTTTCTTCCTTTTTTCCTTTTCTTAGTAAGAAGATTTCCAACATTGCGATGGAAATCGTTAAAGAATACATATTTATAAAATACAAAAATCGCAAAACTTATAGAAAATAGTATAGATCCGAAAATTGTCGCCAACTGGCTACATAAAGTAGCATAAGTGATTTTATAAGGGTTGACTTTGAATTAAAAAATATTAAGTTCCCTTGAAAATTTTTATATAATTATGACTTTTCTATTAAAAGGACATCTGGAGCTACACCCACAGGGTTAGAACTACGGAAAGCCTAAATCGGTGTAAATGAAGTGAAAAAGCGTAGCAGAAAATAAAATTCCGTAGTAGATATTTTAAATGTATATTGGCTCTTAATAATTTGCTTTTTTTAGTTAAAACAATAAAATTATGCATAACAATAGCCTTTAATCGCGTCCTGCAACCATACTATTTAGCGTCTATAAAATAATATCAACGTAAAAATGTTCCATATTTGTTATTTAAGTTCTTTTATTGGTGGTTTGGTTAGTTAAATTTTTTTTTGGAAACAAGACTCCTGAAGGGTTCTAAAAAGTTATTCGTCGGATAAATTCAGGTAGTCCTTGAACAAATGAAGTATACTGAAGATATACTTTCTAAGTCAATAAAAATCAAAAACTTAGTAGGCCAATATCTCAAAAAAAAAACACGTGATAGAATAACACTTAAAATGCATTCTGTCTACATTTGAATACTATTTCATGGCCTTACAAAGCACCTTTTTAGAAAATTTTAAAAGTTAAAAAGTTACATAACTACGTACAGTGTAATTGGAAGCCATTCACTCTTTGGCCTCTTCTATTTAAAAAATAAAGTGTAGAATTTTTTAGCGAAAAATGGGTTTGAAGGCCACATAAACTTTAAAAGCTACTAAGTTCAGATACCGCAATAAGTGCTCTTATTTGGGAAAGAAAACCGCAGTAGATGGTGGATAAAGCGGAGTAGCACAGTAGATTTCTAATTTTTGTCAAAAATCGTAGCAAATCTACTACGATCGTAGTTAAGTTCCAATGCTGTACACCTATGTATTTTTGGCTAGTCAATCGTTAAACTATTATTTTGGAACCCGATGGAATATCGCTTCAAGAGGAAAATGGCCCATCTCAACCTATTAAGGTTACTTTAATTGATGGGCACAGAGATGTATGTTTATAGTTACTCATAAACTATAAATTTTAGACAAGTTAGGAATTACGAAATTACGAAAACAATTAAAAGCAAATTAGAAAATTATTTCAATTCGAATGGAGCGAAAAAGCGAAGTGCGATTATTATTATTATTTATTTTTTTAATGACCAAATATTTAATTACTAAACCAAAGGATTAGATAAATCAATCCATATTTGAATTTATTACAGCATACTTTTTCTTTTCCACGGACGACTGTCATTTCGTTTACCTTAAAAAAGTAAGTAATTAACTCTTAAATCGCTGCCATATATTTACGTACATACATACATATCTACTCAGCAATGTACCAATGAAGTGCATGCATTAAAACAAAGTTATATATGATATATATATATATATATATCTATATATATAAAAATGGTGTGAAAAATGTATAGTAATTCATCAATTGAGAACGGTTGGGCCGATTTGGCAAAACTTTTCTTTTAGTTGTTCGCAATTTCCAGGAGAAGGTTTTTACGATAGAAAATTTTGGGAAAACTTTCCGGGAAAGTCGGGAAATTGGAAAAATCGAAAATTGATTTTTTTGTGCAATTACTTCGGGATGGCTTTCGAATGTAAAATAGAAAATTCTGGAAAAGTCGGAAAAATCCAGAAGAACGCGAAATATTTGAAATTTTTCGACGAAATTTTGTATTTTATCGCATGATTTGATGATTTTGGACAATGTTGAGGTGGAAAATTCGTTGTGAAGATTGGAACATTTCGGATAATTGTGAAATTCATTGTGAACATGAATCAATTGGGAACAATTTTCTCCTAAATATGTTTCATAACCGATTCGAATAGTTGCTGCTTTTTTGGAAAGGTGTTCAGGAGTGCACAATGTTTTAATTTTTCCGATACGTGGGGCAGGGGTCGAACTACGCTAAAAAATGCATTTGGTACGTAGGTAGCCATTTGCCTAAATTAGCATATAGGATCCATTTTTACCATTAAGTGGGTCTTATTTATGGTCCGATTTGCTTGAAATTTGGCACGTAGGTAGCGTATTGTGTGGGTTAAAATATAGGATACTTTTTCCATTCCAAAAATTCTTATTTATGGTCTGATTTGCTTGAAATTCGATACCCGTATTATAGATATGCGTAGAATAAATTGAGTCATTGGGCCTTATGCATAAAAAGTGAGCTTAAGCTCAGACTCAATTTTTGCACTGAAGGGGTGAGCTCAAGCCCAAGAATTTGTACTGAAAATCGAGTCGGAGCTTAAGCTCACTTTTTATGCATGCATCGACGTCGACGACGACAACCATAATAGAGCCGAATATTTGACTGAAATTTTTTTTTATATATTTATTGGTCTTCCTTCAGAGTTCATTTGTGCTTGAATCGCTATTTTAAATGACTCTTGACTTTTTTAAATAGGTGGTCCCCAATAGTCGCTGAATCCACAATATCTTTAGTTCCCCTAATTGCAAGGAAAAATAATGTTGTCTCCATTAAGCTATTTCATTAAAAAAGTTTTATGGATATCTTAAAATTTGTTTTTGTTATTTATGACCTTTTAACAATTATATTCAACAATTTTTATTTAGCCTGAGGCCATTTGTAACGAAAAAATTTTTTGGAAAAACAACAATAATTTACCCAAAACATTCGACGAAGCATGAATTTCCTGGGGTAAAGGCACACAAGTAACTAAATAAACCCACATTACGAAAAAAAAACAATTTGAGGAAAACGGTATGTACTATATGCATATGTAAGTTTTTTCTTTGTATTAAAAATAAAATTGATGCATAAAAAAACAAGTGTATAAAACGTGAGAATTTTTTTTAGAACAATGTATCTAGTTGTTTGTTGGATTGGAAATAGTTTGTACACACCTTTTGGTAAATACCCGGGTATTTATCCATATTTACCATTTGGGTATTTACCCTTTTCCCATCTCTACCATCTGTTTAATAAAGAAATCTTGTGTCAAAATAAATAATAATTTATTGCGACCCCGAGGATATAAGGTTGTCTGCGAAAAACCTGGCCTAAATTCCGGTTGGCGAGCTNAAAACAAAATACATGCAAGGCGAAGAAATCAGCTGATCATACAACACCACCTTGTATAAATTCGCATTGATATGTACTTACTAAGATTTTAATATTCAATGAAAGAAGGTAAATGCTGCATCACCTTGAAAACAAATTATTTTCCAAATATTTGCCGATGATTCGCAGTGCATAGTGATATCCGAGACTTTTTTGGAATGCTGAAGCTAATTTTTCTCTGAACGTTCGTAATAAAACATGATTTTTTGGGGATTATTTTATTCAAAACAAAAAAATCCAGCGATTTTTGCCTACTTAGAGTATTTGCAAAGGCACAAATCGCAGTCAAAACTGTCACTGGCTAAAGATAGTCAATGTTTAAGGATGATAAATTTCTTTTCCAATCGAATAAAATTTTCTTCTTATCTTCATCAACATTCTCCTCGCTCCACTCACCTGATCTGGTCGCAAGCCTGGCGGCACCCAAGTGTACTCCTCCAGCGCACAGCCGCTATCATCGTCCGACTGTGAATTTCGCTGGAATTCCAATTGTTGCTGATGATGCTGGTGCTGATGGTAGGCAGCCGTCTTGTAGTTGGCCGCACGCAGCGGTGATGAAATCGAACTGAGTGGCAGTGTTGGTGGCGGCGGCTGGCAGCGTCGTTGCAGCGGTGCTACAAAATGTTGCGGGGTCGTGCTGTTGCTACTGCCGCCACCGTTGCTGGTGCTACTCGATGATGCTTCCAAGTTGCTGGCCGTGGTCGGTGTAGGTGTGGCGGCTGTGGAAGAATTGGGCGTGGCACTATCCAAATTATTGAGTGTCGTTATTGTAGGCAGTGTTTGTCGTTGTGATTGTGATGGTTGCTGTGGCTGTGATAGTGGTTGTTGTGCTGCTGAATAGTCTGTTGTTTGGGTTTGCAATATCGCAGCTTCTGGTTGCAATTGTTCATATTCGGGTAAATTTCCACCAGTCGTTTCCAGTTGCAGCAATTCACTTTCGGTTTGTGTGTAATAGTTGGTCGGTTGTTGCATGGTGACTTCAAGCAACAATTGTTGATGGGTTAATGAGGTGTAGGACGATTGCAGCCGAGGTGGAGGTTCACGCGCACAGGCGGGTGTACTGCAATGAAAGTGAGAGGAAAGTATGCGATTAAAATACTTTGTAAAACTTAAAGTATTTTAGTTGGATTATTACGAAAGTTATAAATGGAATGACAAATATCGATAAAGCTCGGTAGAAGATATTGGCAATTATTTAGGTTGGGATAGTTTTTGCAGAATATGTGTTTAAATGTATATGGGTCAGATTATAAAGACATCTTATGAGGGCCAGATTTTGACTTGAATCCTTGTTTATCAGCAGCGATTAGTGGTCATTGTTGAACAAGATTTCTTCATTATTAAAAAAATGTATCACTTTGAGGAAGAAATTGTTTCCTGATATTTTTTTGACATGAAATGCTTTTCGGAACAAAATTTGTTGAGCCTTTCGGGGATTTTCGTTTGTACTTGTCGAATTTTTGTTTGAAGTTTTGGGATTCTTTCTCAATTATTTTGGATCTTAGTATATACTTTGTGATGTATTTTTTAAGTTCTTGTGGAAATTTTGCGAAACTTCTGAGATTTCTTCGGGACTTTTTTCATTTTTTCTCGCCTACACGGAATGTTTCATGTTTTATTTTTCGAAAATTTCACGGATTTTTTTTTCGCGATTTTAGGGGTTTCCAAAATAATAACCTTGAAGAAAAGAAACTAGTAAAAATAACTGGTTCTTTTCTACTCAAGAAAATGCCAGACAAACCTGGCATTTTAACATATAAAACAAAAAAAAAAAATCAAGTTCGGGCGATACCGGCGCTACTACATGTCTTTTTACACCTTTCTGTAAACTACATTATGAGTAGACTGCAGATTTTGATGCAAAATACGGAGCCTAGAAATATGTACCACATAACTATAAACAAAGTGTCTAAATTTGTATACAATTTGCTAGTGTTAAGTGGTACATATTTTTAGGCTTTATTTTCTGCATAAAAATCCGCAGTTTAATTATGAGCAAAGGTCTTTTCCCCTGTTTCAGATATTGAACATAATTGAACCAAGTTGGGAGGAAATCAATAAAGTCGTTACCGAGATAATCTTTTATAATTCATTAGTGGGCGGTGCCACAGTAATGACTGTACCGAGTTTGCTAGATACTGGTGAATCGGTCACCGCGATACACAAACAGTGAAAATCGTACAGTAATTTTTGCCTTTTTTTAAATTTTGTTTATTTTTATAGTTTACACTACAATAAAATCTATATACATAACTCATGATTTCAAAGTTTGTAAAAAATGAAAAAATTCGGTAAAATTTTCATTAAAATTTCAAAAATTTTGATCAGAATTTTTTGGAACAGGACGGTAAGCATTTTTATAGTCCATTTAATTTTAGAATAATAAAGTGCAATTTTGAGGTGCCTAGAAAATACTTTTGATTTTCGGCAATTTTTTTGTACCTTACGACTGTTTCTTTGATACAATTTTATGCGAAATTTTAATGAAAGCATAACAAATTTGCTGCAAATAGTAGCAACAGGTAACCCGTTTACGCTGCAGCCAACTGCATTTTATGAAATCGCATACCACGGATACTTTCTACTTTCAATAATAGCAAAATTAGAATTCTCCACATTTGAAAGCGAAGCAATGTAAAGCATTAAACAAATTTGTTTGTTCTTCGCTTAGTCTTTTTTTTTGCGTATAAAATTTCCTTTTTTGGCACAGGCAGCAGCTATGTTGCAGCAACCAGAAATTTCGACTGCATATATTTTACATGTTGATGCTCACATGTTGCACGCTATGTGCACATAATGTGGCAACAACACAGGTACACCAACAACGAGCACAATATTCGCAATTGTCGACTCAGCTGAATGCGGACATTTTTACGAGACAAATGAAAAATTCTGTTTGCTAACTTATTTGATAGCATTTTGAATATGAGTCTGTACAAATGAACATAAAAGCGTGCAAGTACAGTTTACAAGTTGGTACACAAATGGATGGTGTGGCGCATGCGCGACCAGCTCTAACTACATAAATGCAGCTGCGCGCAATAAACTAACATCTTTAGATTGGGTTGCGCTTGCGTGCTTTTGGTTAATTTGTATTTGGTCAGTGACGCGCCGCGAAACATGAACATTTGGGCGCTGTGAAGCGAGTGGTTGGATGGTCAGTGGCTGTAGCCGGCAACAAACAGCAGCAACAAGAATTGGCCAACCTGCTGTTGCTACTACGCTTGTTAGTGTTGCTACTGCTCTCGCCTTTTGTTTTTATTGTTATTGGTTTTGTTTTTTGTTTTGCCAGCAAACTCATTGCGCATATATGGTGATGTCCGCACCCGTTTTATCAACTTTCTCTCTATGGCATGTTGTTGATTATTTTTTCTAACGCCTTTTCGCGCTTATTTATGGGTAATTTTTCTTTTTCCATTATTATTTTTGTTTGA